AAGAATGGAGCATGCTTGACAGATATTAATCATGTCTCTTAATGCACTATTGGAAGGTGGCTGTGGTAATGAGGGCAGTATAAGAGCCTGTATACAACTTACTAGACATATAATTTTAAATAGATGAATTAGATGATCTACAACAAATAATTTACGCAATAACTTTTTCTGCTCCCGGATTGTCTGCTAGCAGATCGGAATTTCCTTGCATTTTTTTCTAGTTTACTCAACTTTTACAAGGTATTTAATTTTTTTCTATGATGGATTGACTTCATGTTTCCGATAATCAGTATTCAAAACCTAAGATGTGCTGGTTAGTTGTGGTGGATCACATAAATCATGTTCTATTCTATTTCTTTTCCATAAGTAGACTAAAATGTCACTCAATCCTACAACAGCTACAGGTACAGGTTAGATTAGCAGGACTAAACATGTTTATCTTTGATGACATTTCCCTTGTACCTAAATAGAAACTAGCAAACCTTTGGAGCAGAATACTGCATTTATGTGCTTTAAAACCTCTCTATATATCTTATAAGGAAAATAAATGAATAGTGGGGTATTTTTCATATCTTGCCTTATTATCATCATTATGTTTGGATTTCTGACAGATAACCATGATTGTGATTGGTGTGTGAGCTGACTAGAGAGGCACACACCATCTGGAAGCCATCACTGCCCCCTTAATTGCCAGAATGGGTCACTAGTTAATAACTTGAGGCAATCATTGGCCAAACACCTAGGGAAGTAAGATAAGCATCTAAAGAATGTGAACACCAAAAGGACTAAAAATCAGTTTGGGGTGGGGACTAGGGATTAGACTCAACAATGGAACATTTTGCCTTAATATGACGGAACAAAATTCTATGGTGAGATCATGAAGATGGTTAAAAAGTTCCTCAAAGTAAAGGAAGTTCTATTTCTTGAGTAATGGAGAAAAGAACTGGATAACAGTGGCAAACATACCACAAGAAGCAATCCACTGGCAGAGACAGACTAGATGAGCTCCAATAATGTGTTTGTTTCACTTCTATAATTTTCTTTCCATGGCCTATTCACACTGCCTAAGCAGTACTTCCAAGTCATGCTGACCTATGACCTCCAAAACTTATCTCAGATCCCTAGCTTTCCTAATGTATCAAATCAGCAAGAACAATATATTTTGGCATACTGCAGAGTAACAACCTTTAATGCTCAGTAGAGCATTCCAGAGAAAATTATACTAGCTTGCATTTTACTTGCCCACCATGTGACACTACCTTTATTTTTCAGTCTAGGAGACTGAATTAATAAAAGTGAGTTAAGTAATTATAGCCTTTTCATTTATAATCACTCTTGGCATTGAGCTAGAATGCCACAGCCAGAATTGCATATAAAAGTCATTTGACAATCTAACAGAAGCAAAAAGGATACATATAGGCTGGTATATTTACTCCTATTGAGAAAATAAGAGCATTGTGGGCCATTGCTAATACTAAGGTTTCCAAGTAGGTCCCTGAGACCCTGAGAGTATGAATAATTTTGATGAAAGGTGAACATATACCTTCTCTAGATCGTGCAGTCAACCACCTCCTACTATCATTCTGGGATCTTCATCCACCAACAGAACCTCCTCACTCTTTTCTACAGTGAGCAGCAGTCAATTCACTTTAATTCAGATCCCTGTCTTGATCAGATGCTGCAAAAATAAGACCATTGACTGTATTCAATGAAAATGAGACAAAACAATCAATCTGCAGATGAATCTCTAGCATGCCAACTGCTAATACTAGACTGAAATACCAAATAAGGGAGACTGGACAAGATTCATATATTTGCCCTGTTTACAAAGGATTATGTATACTTGAACAATTGACCAGTATTGTTCATCAATAGATATGATTTACAATTAGATATTAGGATTCTCAAAATTGAGAAGGTCATTGGGTGGTTGTTGTTTTTTGGACAATGTAATTCACAATTATTAAAGGTCGTCATTTTCTATTGCTGGTAAAGAAATGCCTTTGGTGTTTCTTTACTTAAAAGCCAGAAAGAGATCCGTCCTAGCTGTTAAAACTGGACTAGGTGCTATGGTGTTAGGTGTTATGTATATAAATATGCAGCTCTCATTCTGTACATACAAATTCTACTAATGTAAATGGGAACTTTGCATGCATATCTGAGGCAGTATATGTCCCTTCTAACCAGTTGTACAGAGAGAGAGAGAGAGAGAGAGAGAGAGAGAAATTCAGCTGGCAGCCTTATCTGCTAATGTGAACTATACTAAAAGCAAGGGAAAATACCATATAAATTACACTGCTGTTGTACTGGTCATAGAGCCACAAGAATGTCATACTTCTCCTCCAGAGGGTAGAAATGAGCCCTATATGATTACTATTCCCCTGTTTAATATTTCTGAATATAGAGTGAAACATTTGTCTCTGTAAATAGGTAATGCATAAAAACAATTACAGGGATAATTTAGGAGCATTACGCTTGTAGTCCTCCATTCAAATAAATCATTTGCAATATAAAAAAGCCCTGCAAACGTGCATTCAATGCTTAAAAAGACGGATTGTATAGGTAAATGATTTCATTTCCATTATCTTGTATCCAGCTTTGCAAAAACAACAGGTTAGGAAACAAACTAGCAAACAAGAAAAACCTACGAAGGCCAGTTTCTGCCCTTAGTTACACAGATGTAAATCTAGAATTATTCGACTGTGATCAGATGGAGTTACTCCAGAATTACATCCTTAAAAATAAAGGCAGAATTTGGCTCTCAGGTGATAAATCTCTATGATGAAGCATAGTAACAGAGTAACAAAGGCTACGCCTGAGAAAGGCCGTTGGGAGAAAGGAAACACCTGCTAGCATTGCTGGTGAACAGGTGGAAGGCAGAGCTTTGCAGGCTCGATATCCTGTGGTTAGTATTGCCATTACAGAGAGTGGTTTTCAGGTGCCCTCCCCTGCACTCCCTCCAGCGACTTTATAAAGAAACGTTGCTGGTGAACCGATATGAGCGATCTGCTTTGTGCTCCCGTGGAGATGCTCCAGGCAGAGGCAGCACCGCGTGACTGACTCCAACTACCTCTTTGTATTAGCTAACAGCAATCCCGTCGTGCTAGCCCTGCCCTCGCTGAGTGTGCGTCTCGCTGCCTCTTGTTAGTGCAGCCAGGAAACCTGAATTACAGCCTGCGACTACTAGACACTTCCCCCAGGATCTCCCTGAGCTATTGCTGTGGGCTGGGGAGTACTCTGTCCAACTTGCCCCTGTTACTAGCTCGTCAGAGGGCTGCTCGGATGGCGGCGGCTGGTGCTCATCGGCCCTGGTCAGCAGCATCAGCACCACAGACAGCTCCGAGCATTTAGCATCCCCCAGCTGAAAGGCCGCCCAGCAGCAGGACCCCTGGATCCTCCCGGCCCCGCGCTCCCCTGGCACTGCAGCCCTCAAGCCGCTCTGTAAAACCAGGGTGCCCTTAAGGGGAGGGCGCAGCTAACGGGTTGAGCCAGCGGGTCCCCTCCACCGCCGCGGCTGTCCCGGGAAGGTGCCCGCCCGGGTGGCCTGCACTGGGGCTGGCTCGGGGGAGCCCGGCGGGCAGTCTGGTGGGATCGTGGCCGAGGCCGGGCACCACCAGGCTGCCCGCCCCGCTCTGGCAGCTCAGCTCGTCCCCCTAACGCCGCCTCCTTGGAGAGACCTCGCCCCCCACCCCGAAGGGCGCTAAAGCCCCCGGGCAGCCCGAGCAGAACCCGCCGCTGGCGCCCGGCTCAGGGGAGGATGCCCCCCCGCCCCACATTTCCCTTCCTGGTGCTCCCTGGCCTGGGGGGGCTGCCATTTTAGGCCACGCCTCCTGGCCTGGGGGGACTGAGCTGCGGGTCTCCTCCTTACCCCTGCTGCTGGGGCTTGCTCCAGGGCCCTGCCCTTCCCTCCCTGTCCGGGCCTGTGGCTGCCCCAGCCCAGCTGGCAGCCGGCGCTCCGCGGCTCTCCACTGGCGCGCTAGCAGCCATTCATCGGGCCCGCGGGGGAGAACGAAGTGGGAGGACTCGGAGGTGCCGCTCTCCCCGGCCGGGGCCCAGCGCCCCTGGGTGCAACGGGCGGGAGGCCGAGGGGCGCGCGCTTGCCCAGACAATGGCCGAGCGCCCCCGGCGAGCTGCACAAAGGGGCCGGCTGGGGGGCAGCTAGAACGATCCGCGGTAGAGAAGTTTTCGCTGCTTCCTCTGTGGGTGGCTGCGGGCGGGAGGCTCCCCCGGCTCTACCCTCCCACCCGGCGTGGATCTGCAGGGTTGTGCCCCGCTGCCCTCGCACGGAGCTCATTGTGCAAACCCAGGAGGCGCACGCAAGGGCAGGGAAGGCAGCTAGCTGCTTTCCCACCCAGCCGCTCCTCCTCTGGCAGGCCCTGGGTTCTTGTGCTCCTTGCAGCTGCTGCGTTGTGGGGGAGGGGGAGGATGTGGCATGTGGCAGTGGTACCGGGGTGGATCTCATGCCTGATGTCGCTGTTTGTCGCTGAGTTTTGGAGAGATTTATTGGCTGGCTCCTGCTAAGCCACGCTTGAGTAATCCGAGCTGCTGCGCGCTGTGGTGAAGCCCGGAGGGGGGGTTGGGGGGGGGGACGTCACTCCCTCTGGTAGCAAAGCAACATTAGTCTTCCATCCCTTTAACCATCACTACAGCTTGGGAAACTGCCGGGTCACATCCATTTGCATTGGAAAATTGGCGATGTTTGGTGGTAGAGAAACAGATCGATCACCCTTGTGATTCCCCCTGCTCCTGTCCCTGCTTACCCCACCCCTACCCAGCCTAGAGACAATAGCATCCGAGGTCCCCCAGAGGAAGGAGCGGGGATGGATCTGATTCCAGTAGGAAAAGCGTGTGCCTAGAAGTGGTGCTAATGGGAAGAGATGCTGTGATCCAGAGGAGGATGATTTGTCACAAAGGGTAGCTGGCTCAGTGCTTTGGGCTGGAGCCGTGTAGAGATCATTGGAGAAGTCATTGTGCACAGGGAGCCGAAGACCTATACAAACATGCCTGTTCGCAGGGGGCATGTGGCACCACAAAATACATTTTTGGGTACAATCATACGAAAATTTGAAGGGCAAAGTAAGTTCTCTCTCTCTTTCTCTCTATTTTGATACAATAGTTTGGGTCTGCTTGGGACTAGATACATAGCAGCTCCAGCCTGTTTTAAGTTTGTAGGTTGGAAAGGAAAAACAGGAGGCGAGGAAGGGATCCCGAAGAGCCTTGCTGATATTCTTGCTGATCTACATTACAGTTTTCTGTTCCCCCTCATCTTAGGGGACAGTTGTAATTATTGACTGTATTATATTTTGTGTTGTAGCTACTGTACCTACATTCCAGCTGTTCAGCATATCATACAGCGGGGATGCTTATGCAATATCCAAGGAAAACATTGCTAGCTTTTTTTTTCTTTTTTTTTTAACATAAATCAGAACAGGCAGACTTTGATTTAGAGGAGACAAATAACACCCAGAGGAATTGTTAAGGGAAAAGTACTCTTATTAGCTTGTCTTTGGCACTGCATTTTTAACATATTTATCAGTGACGTTTTTGTTTATCATTAATTTATGGAAGCTTAAAGTATCTATTAAATCAATGCAAATGCATCCCCAGGGATGTTGCTGATCTAGTCTATGTATCCTTCCCTATGCAGTAGTTTCCTACCTGTCAAAGATATTGAAGCTTTCATTATTTTTCTTTTAATTCCAATTTACTGTAGATCTCACACTTGAAACTTAAAAATAATTTTATAACAGCATCCAAAGAAACAGTATGTTTGACACACCTAATTTAAATATTTAGCATGTTTATAATATATCAGGCCACTACAAAAAGAAACTAAGTTTAGCTTATACACTTTGCAGTTCCTTCTCTAAATGTATCTACAGCAAATTTAATATTCTTGTAACTTGTGTAAGAAATAAAAGCCAGCTCCTACAAGTTTTACATATATATAAGTATTGAAATCAATGGTACTATTTATGTTAGTACAGGGTTACAGACTCAGGCCATTGAATTGTGTGACTTACTGTTGCAGTGAATAAAGCTAATTAATAATACAATCCTTTAAATCACTAATACAATATTATTGTGAAAATTCAGCATAATATGAAGGGGAAAGTATAAAATGCACTTTTTTCTACATATGTTTTGATGTGTTAGAGAACAACATATTTAATTAAAAATACTAATATAGGGTCATACAATGCTCACATAACTCATGATAAATCCTATTAAAATTGTGGGGTCTGTTTGTGTGAACAAGACAAGCAGGACTTCATAAATGGTAATAACATAGCAATTGTATCAAAGCTGAATATCCATTTGTAAATGGGAGCAGTATATAGTGCAATTGTGAACAGAAATAAGTAGAATCGTTATAAGACAACTTTGATACATTACTCTCAGGTGAAAGTTTCAAGAGATATGTGTGGCTTAAGCATATCATTTTACACGTGTAGTTGAGACCAGAATTTGACCCAAGATGATCTTTTACTATGTGACTTGTAATTTCCTCTTACTATAATAATTTTAGCTCATAACAACTACACAAGCAACTGAATTATCATATTACATTTATTTTCTTGGGAGTTTAATTGAAAACCAGATTAATGGCTTGATCCTGCTCATATTCAAGTCAATGGAAAAATTCCCATTGGCTTTTGCAGTGCAGGGTTGAGACCTTTGGTTTGGGCTTGATCCTGGCAAGATCTCATGCAGATAAAACTCCCACTAACTCTTCAGTGGAGTTTTCCTCAGTAAAGACTTGCAGGACTGAGCCAATAGTCTGGGTTTCAATGACACTGAAAAAGCTATTACAAATTTGGAATTCAACAAGAGCTTTGCAAAAGGACTTGTTGGATCTGGTTTTATTTTCTTAAAAGCCAACTATCTTCATATTTAATGTATAACAAGTGTATTGAAGTTTCTTTAAGAGTTCTGGGTCAAGATAGCTATATTGAAGATCTCTACATCATAGAAATCACATGCAAAAAATAGGTAATAGGTTCTTCAACATCTGTCCTTGCAGACAACAGTTCATGGAGTGTTGGAAAAGTACTGAAAAAATGCATCACTTTCTTGTATTGCAGATAAAAAATTCATCATTGCTAATGCTAGAGTGCAGAACTGTGCTATCATCTACTGCAATGATGGGTTTTGTGAGATGACTGGATTCTCCAGACCAGATGTCATGCAGAAACCTTGCACCTGTGATTTCCTTCATGGGCCAGAGACCAAAAGGCATCACATTGCCCAAATTGCCCAGGCACTGCTTGGGTCAGAGGAGAGGAAAGTGGAAGTCACTTATTATCACAAAGATGGTAAAGTTTCTCTATTTTAAAGATTTTTAATGTGTTTGGGGGACCAGTTGGCTTGTAAATAGGTTTTTAAAGAAATTTCTTTGACACACTGGGCAAAATCCTCAGCTAGTGTAAACTGGTGTAACTCCATGGACTTCAGTGAAACTACAATGATTTATACTATCTGAGGATCTGTCCCTATAAAATCAAATTTTTGTATTTATCAGACATTTCTACACAAATCTGTCTATTTAGAATTGGAAGAAAAATCCCCATTTTACTTATTATATGACGAGTGTACAAAAAAATTATGAACAACTTTTAATGGTACTAAAATAAAGGGTCTGACTCTTCTTTCACTTTCAGTGGCATAAATCAGGAGTAACTTTAGTGCAATTCTATTGACTTCAGTAGTGTAAAACTGGTGTACATGAAAGGAGATTCAGGCCCAGACAGTTAGTTTCTATGGATGGTTTCGTATCATAGACTGTAGTAACAACATACAAGTGCCAGAGGGTTAGACTCTGCTACCCACACTCAGCTTGAGCAGTATCTTGATGTAAAAAGGATATCTGAATAAAGTGCTACTCATCCTGAGTTAAGGGTGACATAATCTGGCCCTTGTTAAGTGAAACGTAATTGAGAAAAAGTGAAAAAAGAAGAGGCAAATTCTTCTCCTAGTTGTGCTGTTGTAAATGCTGAGTAACAACTGAAATCCAGAATGATGCTGTTGTAACAAGGAAGGATTTAGGTCCCATCAAAACTGAAGGGAATTCAGTCTCCTCCTTCCCTCCCCAGCCCTCAAGGAAGAATGCAGACTGAACAGAATACCATTTGTATTATGATTGACATATGGAAGAAAGAGTAAAACAACTATGCTGTTATATATTTACTGTTGAAAGCATGAAAGGAATATGTGTCTGTGTGTTCTGAAAATGATGTATCTGGATATGGGAGTACTACAAAACTAATTATGATTCTTTATAGTTAGGTTTAAGAATTTTTTCTGATTATTCAGCATTATTTACAGGAATGTCTAGCTTCAAAGAGGTCTGAGTAATGTTTAAGTATGGTGTACTATGTTCTGTCCCTCACTGTGTATATACTCAAGAGAGAAAGCAAAGGAAACTCATATATTCAAATGTTGAGCTTAATTTAGTTTTGGAGACATGCCAGAGTACTGTTGGCATTAGTTTCAGAACTGCAGCGACAGAGGCTCTCAAGCTTTAAAGTCACAGAGCCAAATTCTATTCTCAGTTATTATTATTCCAGAGTGACACCAATGAAGTAAATACTGTTATTCCAGATTTATCCTGAAGTAATTGAGAGCAAAATATGGCTTACAGGTTACCCCCTCACATCTGATATTTTAAAAGTATTCTCCTTACCCTTTGGATTCTCATATTCTCTCTAGAGTTAGACCCAACCCCAAACCCTGGATCAGAACATTTTCTTACTTTGGGGAAGTTCAGATCTTGGTAGAGATCCTCACCTAAGGTAGAGCTGCTTTGCTCAATTGATTTAATTGAGGCTCTGGCCTTCTGTATCTTGTGGAAAGTTTAAATCTGTGTATGTTAACATGAAATATAAAATAAAAGTAGCATTGGAACCATAGCTAACTTTGAAGAGATCACAGCCGACAGATCAAAGCACTGGCTTCCGGGTATGATCACTCAGAAGTGTTCTTCCTGCTTCAGTTTGCAAAAAATGATTAGGGGGTGGGGTGAGAAAGAGGGAAATGGTATTTACTTAAATAATTAATAAACTATCAGATTACCTTTTTAAAAATAATACATTTCTGAAATGCTGAATTACGATATTATGCAACCTGACTCATTATAGAACATTAAGAGTAAAATATAAACAAGGCAAATGTTTATTTTCTTTTCCACATCTTACTTATTTTTTTTTCAGTTTGCAACATATAATTTATTAAATTATAGAGCATTTAGGGGAAGATACTGTAAACAGTTATGCACAAGAGTAACCATACTTTCATGATTAGTCACTTTAAACTTAAAGGTGATACCCATGTCCGTATAGCTAATGCTCAGCCATGGGTTTGCAGAATCAGTCCCTTTAGAAAGCCACAGATAGTGTTTTTAACAAATTAGAACCTAAATCCTTCAAAGATTTACTACTGGGCAAAATAATTTACCATGAGCATTAATACACTTCAATAAACCTTTGCACATTTGGGCCCAACTTTTGGAACTTAAATACAGAGAATTAAGGGATTGCTATTGCACTCAGGCTGTACTGAACCATTGATTTCTAGGCAAAACAGCCCATTAGTTCTTAAGAAATCCCCATAGAAATCTATTATAGTCTATGACCCCATGCTATTTGCAAGCCTGCAACAATCATTTGGAGCCCAATCCTGCATTCTTATTTCATCTACAATTCCCACCAACTTCAGGGCAACCTTTGGATGTGGAAAAAAAAATAATCCAGAATTGGACCATTTTTTGGAGACCACTTCAATAACTTGGCGACAAGCTGGTGGCAATTCTATTCATTACACATATATACTTTTTTGCATTCTTTCTATATTATCTGTAAGTCCTTACTATAAGAAAAGTATGAAAACATTTAAAAAAATCCTAACTAGCAATAGTGTTTTGTAAAATTAAAATGTAGTATAAAAACATGTTCAATATTATGCTGGGTGTAGTTACTCTCAGATTAGTATTATAGTGTTTATTAGCAGCTGAAATGTTCTATTTTAGTTTTCATAAAAAGTGTATGTATGTATTTTATATATAAATAAGCTTGGCAGAATTCAATTTTTAAAATAATTTGAATGATAGAATGTTTATTTTAAGCATGTTTTTCAATTAAAATTTTTACAGTTGTGGGAAATTATTGGGTGGGGTCAGATAATTATTTAATGAGAATAGATATTGAGATTTAAAAAGTTAAAGATTTATAACCATTAAAACACAAATTGTCATAATCACATCACATGTCAAATATATGCAAAGTAAATATCCTTAAGTTCTCAAACACAGTTTTTCTTACTTTGCCTATCTCTAAATTATGATTATTATTGATGGAAATATCTGTGTGTATGATGAAATCAAAGTTTACTAGCATTACTAACATTACTGCTAAAAATCTAATCCTTTCTAGCATATATATATATATCAGTGAAAGCTTACTAGGACCTTTTTCAAGTTTCTGAAGTGGGCAGCAAGGTAGGGTGCAGAATTGATAGCTCTGATGACTGCACATTTTGTATTATGCAGGGTTTATTTTTTTTAAGTGCTCAATCCTGTGAACAGTTAGGCATGTAACTTATTCATGTGAGTAGTAACAGTGAAATACTCAATGCTTAAAGGTTTGATTTAATCTATACACTAATTAAGAAAATGCATATATGTATAGACATGTTGCATAGCTACACACAGTATACTTCTGTACAAACACAATATATTAGTGATTCTCCAGCTTCCATTGGTATGAAGGCCACAGTTCTAGCTCAGAAGAGTTGCAAGATTTTGGACTTTAAGCCTGTCAATGATGCAAAACTGAATTTTTTGCGGGAGGAGGAAATTTTTTTTGTAGCAGGCTGATTTTAGAAAAATGGTAGCTGTCGGAAGCTGCACAGAGGTTTTGAATACTGAAATAAATCCTGGGATGATGGATTAATGAGCAGAATGCAGGTGAGGTGGTCAAAGGTGCATGACAAAGACTAAATGATCATTTAGTTCCATTAATCAGTTACGTGGCTATCACCATCATGTATATTTCCCTCTACAGTATATATGATGGGGAGGAGAATATACATGATAGTGTGTCGTAACAATTTTAATGGCATGAATTTGGGATGACATCTTTATTAATCAAGCTAGAAGGATTTACCCCAATTTACCCAAAATTTCAAAGGTTTTGAAAATTTACTGCTAATCATCCTGCTTGTATGTCATAGAAATCTGAAAGGTATTTTTATCAGAAATAATTCTGCTAATATAGCATATATTTTCTTTATTTCTCTTTCTTCATTCTTTGTTAATAAAAGTCTTTGCATAATACAATCATTGTTTCTTAAGTCCTAATCATTTGTTCCAAAAGAACCTGAAGAAGAGCTCTGCATAGCTCGAAAGCTTCACCCATGTTGTCTGTTCCAAACGAGACAATTATGAGGTCACCAAAAGGATTACAATTTTTTAGGGAATGATTAGAGGAGGAGATGGACTCATAAAAACTAAGAGCTCAAACATTTATCTCTTACTTACATGAGTAGTCCCATAAGTCACTGGAACTACTCATGGGAATAAGGCTGTGAGATTAGCCCCTAAATTCCATTTTAATGCAAATGTCCTCATTAATAAAAAACTTGGGTAGATAGATGCAGGAAAAAAATCACAAGCAGCATCATTTCGAAACAGAATGTTTTTCAAAGTTGCCTGTGAGGCATTAGCAGTTGTTTAAATTAATAAATTATACTCTGAATTCATAGCAATCTAGTACAGTGTGTTCCTTACTGTTTATAACTTCCTCTCCCCAACTGGTTATCTAGAGTATATGATCTGTATTAGATACATTGGAAGGTAAGATATTGTTTATCCAGAGTATAAATTTTTGTTTTAATAAAGTTATTTGCAGTGGAAGTGTTTGAAAGCTTTTCCTTTGAGGACTCCATTTTACAGTTTAAGTCATTATTACATAAAGCATCCTGGCAGCAGTAAATATTACTTGAAGTGATAAAGCTGTAAAGTTTTTGACATAAAAACTATAAATTATACAGAGATTGAGGATGGGCATATGTTAATCAAAATATATTGTCACTGCATACTATTTTGGCATGTGTTCTGCAGACAACAGTAGGATATAACTAAAAATGTAGCCTAAAAAGACTGCTTATTAGTATGAAGTACAGGAGTTCTTTAACTACTTTACATTGATGCAGATATTTTATGGATAGAAAGTACCAATGAAGAATGTAATAATGACTAAAAAGATGATAGGAGGAAAGTGTGGTTTCAGATAGTTGTCTTGATGTTACAAACAACAAGAAG